CTCTCCAGAGCGAAGTACAGTTGTTGTATTTGAGGATCTATGCGCCGAACCGAAAAAAGTGCAAGAACGAATTATTCCTTACTTCATTAGTGGCCGGCATCAAAATATCTCACCCATATATGTAAGCCAGAAATATACACAAACTCCTAAAATTATTCGCGAAAATATCTCACATTTATGCCTATTTCGAGGAGCAGGAGGCCGAGACGACATCTATAGAATCGTGCGACAATATACAGATGATTTGCGGAATCGGGAATTTGTGATTTTTGATTTTACTAAGGCAGTAGACGATCCTCTAGCAGTTAGACTGGGTTGGGACACCCCATTAAAATTAGATGAATAAAGCGTGATATCAGATATAAAAACCGCTTCGAGTTTTCTAATACTTATATAAAAATAAACATGGCCGACCCTCTCATTATTCCAGAGTTGCTCGAAAACATATTCAGTGTCTTAGCCAAGGATAAAGTGCTCTATCCTGCTTTATTTGTCAATCGCCTTTGGTATTACTGCAGTGCACCAATTCTATGGAGACATATTGAGTTTTCCATAGAAGGTTATCGGCGGAACCGATGTAATAAAAATATATTTGGACCTCTTTATTGGCAATTAAGAAAGTTTAAAAGAGTTATATGCGAAAAGACAAAACCTCTCTATTGCTCAAAGATGGTGTATCTCAAAATGGCGGGTTTAAAAATCTCGGATGCATTACTTAGTGAAATTTTGTGCTCATGCCCGAATATAAACTTTCTTATTCTTGATCGAAGTTATGGTTTTAGTAATATACCAATTATGGAAATTGCAAAATATTGTCCGAAGCTACTACATCTGAGTCTTGATGCGTGTACAGCTATTACTGATAGATGCGTTAGTGAAATAACACAATCTTGTCCAAATTTAAAATACATAAGTCTCGCTTCTTTGTATAGAGATAGTAACATTTCCAGTGCATCTGTGATTGAAATAGCACGATCTTGTCCCAATCTAGTATATTTAAACCTCAATGGACAACCTTCTATTAATGATGAATCAATTTGTGCAATTGCACGCTCATGTGTAAATCTTCAACACCTGGATTTGTCGTTCAATGAAATAATTACGGATGAAGCTATATGTGCGATTGCAACTGGCTGTCCAGATATGCGAAATTATTTTCTCGAAGACTGTGAATGGATAACCAATAAATCAATCAAAAAAACCGCACAGTTAAATCGAAACCTGCAAAAGCTTATTCTCACTTCCTGTTACAAAATTACAGATGATGCTGTATGTAATGTAGTCCGTTCATGTTAAAACATTCAGAATCTTAGTTTTCAATATATTCATATCACTGATAAAACGATATATGAAATTGCACATCATTGTTCAAATTTATTAGTTCTCAATGCAAAGAAATGCCCATTTATTTCTGATGAATCAATCTACTATCTATTAAGCAAAAAACCAGCACTAGAGCTAATATTGGATTGGGTTCCGTGATCCATATAGGTTAGGATAAAATCGCGTTTATATGGTTAGTTTGATAATCGAATATTTTTCGGTTGTAATTTTATTCTATTAATATTAATACATCCTATCTGCCACTCTATTTTAAGAGCTGATCGAATCCTGCCGATTTGTAGTTAGAGTAGATGTAAAAACAATTAACGTGAAAAAAAATATATAAAGCAGATAAATAGATAAGTTATATGTTGTTATAGCGGAGATAGTGTCTCTGACACATATTAATGTAGGTAATAAATCATTTTATTGATATTAAGAATCTATACGTTGTTAATTTGATGCATTTCTGCTCTAATATTCAATCGAATAAATAGATTTGATAGGTATTAATATACTGTGTATTACACTTCTAATTGTTGGAGACGCTTACTAAATATATCTCGTAATTGGTTTTTCTTTCTACATATCCAATCGTATGGAATATAATATTCTTCATATTCTCTTACATAAATATCCGAAGGAATTCTCAAATTACATTGTTTATAAAATTCTATCCATTTAGTACGCCATTGATTAAATTGTTCTCGAGTCTGAGAATTTTTCACTTTACGTCTCGTTAAACCTAGAAATTTCTTATCATCTGGAATATTATCATTTGGTAAACTTAACCAAGCAAGACGTGCATTTGATGGTACTCTTTCTTTGAATCGGCGATAAGCAGTTTGTATAATTCTCGCGTATCCATCTCGAGATTTAGGTTTATCACACTCGTGATCCCAATGTTTCTGCATCAAATCGTCTGGCTTAATAATTTCGACATAGCTTTTTCTAGTGAAATGGAGTGATTTCTTTGGTTGTATGTCATCAATTTTTATGAGTTTCCAGCAAATAGCCATACGACTTTTATGGATTCTTGGCCTATAATAATTGAAATTGATAAATTTACCTTTACCAAACGATGCGAATAAACATAGCCGGTGATATACACTAAATTTCCCAGCATTTAATAGATTCTGTAAAGGTACTCTGACCCGTATTGCCCATTGAACAGGTGTTTCGTTCTGTTTTATGGTAGATAAGGTATCAAATAATCTCTCATTATCGAAAATTTGATTGAGTTTATTAGCATAAGATCCACCATAATGTGATATATATGACACAGCATACTTCATATCAAAACCAGGACGATTAATATATGGTTTAGGAAGTGTTTTATCTTTTTTTATCAATAATAGTAGCGATATCAAAACCAGACATATTTATCGATTATATCGTATTTAGGATATTTAGACCTATTTGATTTAATAACTATATACTCTAGAATATATAATTCAAATTTTGTGTGATTAGATTCTCGAACCATCTTTCAAGAGATAATCGTCATATTTTGCGGGTGATAAAAATGGGAGTGATTCATATGAATCTAAAGATTGCCCCTTTGGGCTTGAGTTGTAGCAGAATTATAGATTGAAGGGTCATAATTCGGAGAATCGCCTAGGCACGTAAGTGCCATTGTTCCACAATACGGCCTGCTTTGCAATAGTTTAGAGTTGATTCTAAAGAATTTATTTGGATATAATCGCTCGTGTACTGCGGATATAATATGATCTATTTTTGACACGTGAATCTATTTCGGGTGTGTGGATAAATCTATATTTGGGATAATCATTGCATAATCTATTAATACACTATGCCTGATAAATAATGCGTAACGATTATCCGAAAAAATTGATTATGCTAGTGAATATCGAGTTGAGTTGGTCAATGGCATTAATATTTGAAATCAATAGTCTATGCTTTCACTGTTACTATTTGGATCGAATTTTGATATTTATTTATATAACAATAGAGACGATAAGTTTTTTCGCCACAATATTCGCCACTACCCCAAATACCCTCTATATATTTTCTTTTTTATGGTTTTTATTACATAAAGGGCAGGATATTGATCTATTAAAATCAAAATAATTACTATATTTAAAACTATGATTTAGAGTTAAATAAGGAAATCGCTCTAATACCATTTTAATAATGTGTTGTTGTCTTTCTTCCGGGTCTTTAGGTAGAACAGAAATTGGGAATTGTCGTTTAGATGGTGTATATTGAATATTTACCTGCGGTACAAATAAAGTCTTTTCCTCAAAAGAATTGAGCATGGATCTTTTCCCATTCTTCCATAAGATCATCGAGCCATGCAGTACTCAAACCACTTTTTAGTATACCTTGACGTAATAACTCTTCACCGACCAGCCTCTCCCGATCTGTTGAAAATTTGCGATATTTTCTAGGGTCTTCTTTTCTTTCTATTCCACCGTGATAGAAACGTATATCTCTTTCCAAATCCCCACGAAAACATCCCATAGCCCACCTATTTTTCTCAGCCTCTGTAATGATTGAAAATTCTTTGGGATTTATTCCATGTTCGATGGCATACTGATAAAGGCGATTTTTGTTTGAATCAGTCTTGGAAATTGAGGAGGTGCAAATTTTGTTTGGTGCCAAACTGTCCTGTAGAGGCAAAGCCTTATTGCTCTGCAATAAGATATAATTATCAATCTTTTCAATTTGCGAAGATTCAGAGGATTGGAAATTTACCCAAGGATCGAGTCCAGTTTTATTCTTATATCGTTTATACAACCTAGAACGAATTCCATCTAAAATGCTTGGCAATTCCGTTAATTTAGCTTCCCACTCCAAATATTCGGGGGTTAATGTTTTATGACTCGTAGAGTCGCCCCTAAAGGGCCTGGTTTCGGCCTGTGTATTCATGTTCTCGTTTTACATAATATCTCATATCTTTAAATTAGTAATAACCAACAAAAAATAAATATCCCCAGAGAGAGACATTTTTCCTCTCTAGTTCGGAAAAAGATAAATGATGCATTAAGAAAAATGCCGTTTGATATCATCCCTCATATATTCTCACCATCTATTTTTCTGGCTTCGAGCCTTTTTTCTCATACATTCGAAAAAAGATATATAATTATCCTGTATACAGTATATAACAACATTAATGAGTATATTTATCCCGACAATGAATGTAATGAATTGGCGGGGCGAGAAGGCGGGATAAAGATTATGCCATTATCTCAATTTCAATTCCATGATGTTCACATTTAATATAATAGGATCCAATTTCATATCTACCTTCTATACCATTATCATTATCATGATCTAACTTGCATAGCGGGCATAAAGATTCGTCGGTAATTCCATAATAATCATCATTCCCATCACTACCTTCTCGACATAAAGTAGGATATTGTTTTAATGTTTTATTACGGAAATAAGTATGATCACGAGTTGGATTGCATGATGCATTTACAACAGTTATCTTAGTTTCTGGTAAAGATTCAACTTCTTTATCTTCTGAATTGCCAGAGGCAGTCACAGAATGACTAGAGATATGGGATGATAGGATAGGAGGAGTGGATGTAACACTTACATCAGTTCTGGCAAAGTTTTGTTTAGTCACGTGTGCGTTCCAATTTGTCACGCCTGGCAACTCATATCAGTTGTCTTGGGAAAATCATTTATAATATTTTGAATTTGAATATCCTTTAAACTTGAAATAGCGCTTGCGCTGTAAGTTATTTGACCAATTTTATCAATTCCTATTCCTTCATATAATATACAGTATATACTTTTTTTGCTCTGGAAGTTATTTTACGCAAGTTTACATCGGTGATATCAGGAAGGAGTGATTTTATTTCATTATACACTATCGTTCTTGCCGATTGGTCATCAATATGTGCTTTAGCACTAGCTCCGCTATTATTTGCAGTCTTAACATCACTGACTCGATTCTCATATGCTTTATAATAACAATACCAGCACAAACTTTCCTTTTGCCGAATCTTCATTGCTACCCTAAATAGATCAACTATATTTTGTGACGTAACGCCACTAGATCCTGATAAAATCGCTTCTAAAGAGAATTCAGGAATCTGAATATCAAATACTTTACTAATCTTGTGGTTATTATCTTTGATGCAAATAGATAGCTCGAGTCTTAAACCTCATTCTACCTTTTGATTATAAGGAATTTTTGTGGAGCAAAGCATTTCGTGCCTCTGATTAGGCGATACATTAGTAGGCGATTTGGACTCAGAATCACATGATGAATTATTATCCGAAGATAACTCAGAACTATTAGAGATAGATTGTGATATTATAGATGATTCCAGATTTTGATTTTCGTAGGATGGTTCCGATAAAGTACTATCCAAAGATGAATTTTGATCTCGAAGTTTTTTTTCCCTAATTCTCTCCATTATCTCTTTACTAACATGTTCTTTATGTATGTTTTATTTCTACAAAATCAAGGGTCTCGTCCGTATCGTCATCGATAATATTTTGTGACAAAGAGGTTGTAGATGATTCAGTTTTTTGGACCTGGGTTGAGCTATGTTCTATTCCGGTTATAGGGTCGGGAGTAATAGCTTCCTCCTTATCGGGTTGACTCTTATTAAGTGGCGAAATTTCTTTTGTGGGAATATCATTAGAATTTGAAGTTTTTATCAGATATATATGATGCCGAAACATCCCCAGTATGTAAGTCTATTTGTTCGGGGGTAATGCTAGAATTTTTTATTTCAGTAGAAACACTTACTATCTTTTTCTTGGAAATTGACAATTGCTCCGGAAAATCGGTGATTATTTTCTTTGATTTTATTTCCTCGAAATCACAGCTTAATTTTGCTACTTTGATTTTAAGCTCAGAATTCTCAGCTGAGAGATAGGTGATATCTTTTTTATTTTTTTATAGTTCCATCTTAAGGTTAATGTTCTCGGCTTCGCGTTTAGCATTTTCTTCAATAATTTGTTTTAGCTTCCATTCTCAGCCTCAAGATTAATAACCCGTTGTTTCAATAAATCAAACTCAGATTGCATTTTAGTAACTTTTTATATAAAGCAGATTTATTTAATTCTTAATTAGAATTTCCGTTCCAATTTGTCACGCCGATCACTTTTGTCAAGAAAAATAGTCATGACCGAAACGCGATCGTGATCTATATATTTACAGTAGAGCTCGGACGATGACCCCAAATAAAATCATATTACCTTCATTATCACGCGTAAAAAATTCAATGTTTATTAATTGTAGTCAGACATGGCCCGCAATTATCACATCATTTACTTCTCTATTTTAACTCTCTTGCTGACCCTTAATACCTTTTTTGCACATGCACTATATTCCTCCAATTTTCCCTTTTGTTAACTGGTTTCAAACATACCGAGGAATTCGTTTCGAATTAGCAGGAAATCCAATGCAATTGGATCCGGGAGAAGTTGTCGATGAATTGTGATTCTAGGAAATGCATCATGGTACAAACAGTCCAAAGAAATGTTGATGACACATTGACCTGGTATAATATTTGTCGGGTTCCCATATTTGTCTTGGATACCAAATTCAAACTAAAAAATCAAACATCATGTTAGAAGTTTGACACATTGATTAAAAAATAATTATTGCTTGTTTATAATATTACATAAGTCCGAGGTTGGATATCTGCCGTTCTTCTGGGTCTGTCTCTGACACAAAAATGCCATGCCTGGTGCGGGTTAAATTCTTTAAAATGACAAACAAACAATGAAATATCATGTGCACTTAAGGAATATAACTTACTTGCATCCATAAAGGAAGTTGACCTCGAGGTACTTCATCAATCTTAATAACAATTGCGTCATGAACATGACTAAGGTTACCTAGCCAGTAATTTTTCACTTTTTCCATGACATGGTTTTCACTCTCAGAATACGCCACTTTGACGACAAGATTTGGCCAAGGCTTATCCTGAAATTGTGAAATTATGAAATCTTAGCTCTGAAAAGTTCAGAGCCAATAAAATAAGGTACCTCTCCATCACTCCTGTTTGGTGGTTACACTCATGATTTTGAAGGTCGAAAACATGCATCCCCTTCTTTCCCAGAATTGTCGGCACGAGTTCCTTAAGAAAAACAAAGATTTGCTTGATATAAACATAAAGTTGACAGTTAATTAATTGACACTTACGAACTGTGCTGAGATCTTTGATACTGGCATCAGTAAAGTCAACAGGACTCCAACACTGATTAAGAAGCTTAGAAATCACCCAAATACAAGTTTCATGTAGCTTCGATGGAAGTTCATAAATGATGACTTTATAGTCGATCCATTCCCAACAGTCATGAATATTAAACTCCTCCGAATGCCTTTCATATTCCTTCAAGATAACACCAACAGCAAATGTGTACTGAAGTCTTGATACAAATAACAAAAATTAGTTTATATATCACTAGATAATAAAAATAGTAAGTCAACTCAAAACAAGTTAGGAAAGAAACTCACGTTGCTTCTTCCTATTTTGCTTTTGAATTGAAGTCACCCTTTTCCCACCATAAGGTTCGATAATAATGGTACTTTGGCATTCTTTTTGAAATAACATCAATTGTCTCACTAAAGAATAGCTCTGGAAATTAATTAAAAGATTAGAGAAATACTAGTTACACGTACAGTAGATTGTCAAAAGTTTATGGACACTTTTTAAAATTCAATAAAAAAATTTTTTATATGATAAAATATTTACATATTAATTATATTTCTAATTTTACTTAAATAATCAATATTTGTTGATCCTTTCCCAGCTACAATATAAGCCGTAATGTGACATGGTATACTTTTGATTAATCATTGACAATCTTTTAGACTTATTTCATTCCAACACCTTTTAACATATTGCTCAAGTTCTATTAAGTTTTGAGATTTAGGTATAACTTTTTTAAAATGATGTTTAATCATATGCCAGAGATTTTCAATAGGGTTAAGATTTGGGCTTTGCAAAGGCCAGTTCATAACCCTAACATTTTTTTCAATAAGAAACTTTTTTGTGATTTTTGTAGTGTATGGTCTTGCATTGTTATATTAAAACCAAGGCCGACCTATACCAATCCAATTCATTGTGGAAAAATTACGAAGAGTTGGTAAAAAATTTTTCTCAAAAGTTTTGACATAGGATTTTTCTAAAAAAACAGTAAAAAAAAAATTCGTTTGTTTTTGTTTTTTTTTTTATTTTTATTTTATTTTATTTTTTTTTTTTATTTTATTTTTTTTTTTATTTTTTTTTACTTGTAACTAATGTGTGAAATGAAATGAGAGGGCCAGTGCAGAACCACAAAAAACATTCCCAATACATACAACTTGGGTTATGGCTAACCATAGTAGAAAAACAGTCGATGTTTTACTTCTTATATGATTTATGCCATATACGGCTTTTACTTTCTTGTTGAAACTAAGAAAATATCAATTTGTTGCTTCAGATTATCTTTTTGAAGTCATGTATAGACCAATCTTTATACTCAAGACATCAGATAAGTCTTTTTTTGATATTCTTTTCAAAGACAAGTGGTTTAGGATAGGCAATGTGAGATTTTAACTTTTTATGATGTAAAGTTTAACAAATTGTCCTTTTGGATACTTTAATTTTTGTTTTTGATATAAAAAGGTTTGTTAATTCTACATTGCATAAAAACTGATTTTTTTATTAGTGACAAGTTTTTTAAGAGTAATACAGGCGTGATCGTCGAGAAGTCGTGATTATCCAGTTTGGGGTCATGGTTCCATAGATCCAGTTTTAATAAACTTGTTTATAATGTTATCCACAATGGATTTTTTATATCTGATATGAGTTGCAATAGTGTGATATGAATCTTTTCTTTGAAAATCATAAATTATAACCAATTTTTGTTTGAATGTTAGTTCTTTTCTCACACCCATATTAATGATTACATGAAATTTGGAGAGAAAAATATAAGATAAATAAAAAAAATTTTTTTTAATTGACAATATTAAATAAATATATCATTACATTTTTATAAAAAATTAATTATAATTATCAAAATAAATATTGTACAATTAAAAAAATAAAAGTGTCCATAAACTTTTGGCAATCCACTGTATTTACTCACACAGTGGTACGAGTGCTGGCGCTTGCTCTGCTAATATTGCTAGAAGTTCGAACAGGGAAATTTCCATCTGGGTTTGTATATGTTGCCATTTTAGTTTGAGGAAGATAGTTGCAAGCGAAAGGAGATACCTGCTGAGTATTTATAAAAGAAATTTTTCCCACGAGGCAAAGCAACAATAACGATTATTAATTGATCGGATTGTTAAAAAATCACGAGCCCAATTATTGATGTCGCGAACTTCGTAGCCCATTAGGCTTATATTGCGGTCGAGAGCGTTGATTTTTTGTAACAATTCGGTATTAGCGCTTGAGTTTCGCCGTGATTTTTTGATGGCAGACAATTCCGCAGTTATACGGCTCCACTCTTCGAGTATTTATGTATAGTACTAGTGATTGGACTAGCATGAACGCGACGAGCACGAAAAAATATGAAGTATTTGAGAACATTTTTGTGTATTATGTTTTGAGTAATTTCTCGGTTTGATCTTGCAGAACAAAGAATATATAATTCTTGTAATACAATTTGCATGCGTTTTACGTTGTATTGTAAATTGTTCTAAGGATGAACCTGCGATTTTGACGCACGACATAGCGCGTTTTTATAGGCTTCAGCTCCAGACTACAGAATATGACATGTAACATTAGCGAACGCGAAATTTGTCGCTCATGTGTCGATCACAATAACCAGCGAAAATTAATCAATTATGATTCGACACAAGCCAACACATCTGTGCTAAAATCCTAAGTAACTAATTCGTCGCTTCATTATTAATTCGAACGCAAATCAACATTCCAACTACCTCAGCTAATATACAGTATAAATGAATTAGGAATCGAAATCTAGCTTAGCTCGTGATTGACAATTCCGGATCATCTCTAACATGATTCGTTCACAATATTTGTAGATCGTTTCACAGATACTCGGGTTTTCAGTAATCGAAAAACACGTAAAATTTTTATCAGTAATAAATTCTCCTTTATTTAATAAAAATAGTACAGTTATGACTCTTCTATGAGCCTGCTGTATACATGTGGATCTATCCGCTATTTTTTGAGAATTTTTTAATTCTAGCCCTTTTACTGGCAGGAGAGTTATCGACCGTTATCCTATCTTTTAATAGCCCACCTAACACCCGTTTTACCCCTTTTTTGATTGATTCGATATCTTCTTTCAATGCCGTTTTGAAGAGACTTATCTGGTATTCGCTTTTACTCGTACAATAGAGCTCATCGGAAAAACGATGAAATGCCATTCCGTAGCTAAAAATAAAATTGTAAATCGGTTGTAGCATAGTCAAAATTTCTATTGCAGGAATTATAAGATATAAATACCTGTAGATACTACCCCATAGAGATAATCATAATCATAATCTTGAAATGCTTGATTCGCCGTGCGTTTTTTCTTATTTATATGGTACGCACTCTCTAGTTGCATGATATTCTGGAGGTAATCAATTTCGACGTTACGGGGTTTCCCTTCAGCTATACACATAAGATCTTCGTTTCCTTTTATTGCATAATCGACACGACCAGATGTCTCTTCACCGGAAACTGCTTTTTGATATGCTAGGTAGATTTTTTCTTCATTGGTAAGTCTTCGAACGATAGCCAGAGATGCGTTTAATATCGACGTAATAAATACACAACGCGTGGCTTCGTTAGCATTAGTCTGCATTGTTTCCAGATTCGAAAGTCTTAGCGTAATTTCATTCATACACTGCTCAAGTGCTTTGTCGTTGCGTTGTCATCGATTTCCTCGAAAATTATAACAGAAAAAAAGTTAGAATATAACTTATGTTTGATCGTTCCCCAAGGGAACGGTTTTTGCCAAGAAATTTGCGAGACGGCTCATCCCGGAAAATGAAATGCCAAGAAAAAATACCACATACCCGGATTGAATTGCTTGATATTCGTTATATCCTCCCCATTGACTTTATATTTGCGGAGCACGTCTTTTAATTCATCCAGCGTTTTGTATGACGAGAAACTTCGTATCTTTTGTTCGGTAATCTCTTCAATAAAATCTACAAGAACGGTTACAGTCCCACCCTTCAAGCCATAACTGAGAAATTTTTCTTCTGTAGTCTTGAGGAATGCACGACCGGTGATCTCTTCCTCCGCAAATAGTCGATAAGTTCCTCCGTCTTATATTTTTTAACAACGTCCGCCATCGTAAGAGTTGACCTTTCTTCCGTCAAAGTAGAGGATGTGGAAATTGGTGAGGAAGATGTTGAATCGTGAGAAGACATGGTATTGTTTTATATCTAAAAAATTCGTAAAATCTGGTATATGCACTACGTTGTAAAGAGTCAGATAATGAAGGAAGAAAGTGAGAAAAATTTTTGTCTGTTTTTGGGAAGATCGGTGCCTTTATATAATCGACTGATTTATGTGAGTCGCAAAGTCGGCTAACCCATGAGATTGCGGAGATTTCGACTTCCCCAAGACATAAGTCCTTTGATATACACAGTAATAGAGATTGTCGGTCCGCTCCTCCTTACTGCCTTTTCGAGATCCGTTTACGCTGGTTTTTATCGTGAAGCGCAAAAATATAGGGATTATCTATGTTACACGGTTACTTCAACTTCTATGCTGATCTCTGATTCGTCGATTAATATGATCCGTAATATTTTCCTTACCTCACCTCATATGTTCATACTATAGTCATTATGCGTCTGCCAACGGCGAGAAAACACGAATTAGATTCAAAAGAACTATAAGAGGAATGGACTTATCATTCTTTATTAATAGTTATATCAAAAATCATACGTTTTAGGAATTCAGAATTCCCAGATCGCCAAGATCTTTATCTTTTTTACTTCGCAGAGAGATCGTCAAAATTAGGGGTATTTTACCGGATGCAATCACAGACAAAACCTGACTCATGCTAAACAGTTAACCGAAAAAATAACGAAAAAATACTTGGTTTTTGGAATAGACTGAAGAAATGAGACGGTATAAAATACTTCGTTCTTTTCTCCTGTAAGGTATCAATAACGTCTTCTACAGCTAATTCCAAGTAATATACCACTATTTAATGTATCGCCTCTTAATTAAGATTTTAAAACACATTTGTACTTACCACTATTCCATATTTAGAAACGAAAAATGAATAGTTTTAACGACACCTCCGTTTCTAAGACCAACGAAAGTAGTATTTCCAAGACCAGTGTAACTAGTGTTGTTAAGATCAACCATCCTAACGACCCAAACTCATCTAAATCAGGAAGTGTGGAAACTATTCAAACTCGTAAGTAAGCTTCATACCGTATAATTATGTCTATGGTGTAAGCCTCCAGCTGGAGTGATATTTGTTGAGATTAAGTCCTTTATTTCATTAAAAACAGGCAAGGGCGAAGTAAGACAAGGTGATGCACGAGTATCTCGTACCGAAATCGTGAGAACAGTATCTAATATTAATTCATCGGTGGATAATAATAGTTTATTAAAATTATTAGACAAAAAATAAGTATGAAGAGCATAGAGTCTCTACTCATAACTTTTTTATTCGCATAGTGCGACTGGCAATTTTTTCATGTGTCTTTGACACTGGGCTCTGCCCATTAATAAAGAAGGGGACAGTGGACTCACAATTTTCCGGTTTAACGATCACTTCGTTCTAATTGGCTTATTTCTACGGTGTTTTTGGATAGGAGATAGCCTTTTTCTTTTTAATATGGATGCATTTCGGGTTTTTTTGGATCGAGATCATCTGCCTCGAGCAGTCTATTTAATAAATTAATTCGTTCTGAGTCAGTCAATTCTGATGATACTCTAATTGCAGAAATAAGATCTGTAGTTAATGTATTGGGGAAAACTATTCTATTAGGTCTACCGGTAAAAATAACGCTTCGAGATACCCTTAATGGATCTGGAATAAGTGGAGGTAGATCAGAATCCGAGAATTCATCATCAGAATAATCTGGAATAAGTGGAGGTAGATCAAAACCGAGAATTCATCATCGGAATAATCAGGAATAAGTGGAGGTACACTCCCCTGCCAAAAATCACCGGACGTTAATTAAATCTGGAAATAATCGACAAATGGTAAACAAAAATTTTTTTTTACTACCGTCATAATCTGATATTTATTTAATTAAAAATTTTTTTATTTAGAAACTATAACACTTATTTTATCTATCTATATACTTAATATTTCGTAGGGTTGCCATTTGAAGTTTTAATAGCCTCAACATGATGAGGCATGCTTTCTACTAAATTATGGTAAGTTGATTCATTCATTTGAAACCACTCTTCTGATAAAAACTTAAATAACTCTTCTTTGTTAGATGGTAATAGATTATGCCTATGGACTTTACATTCTAACTTGTCCCATATATGTTCAATGGGATTGAGATCAGGATTTTGAGAGGGTCATGGAATAGAAGTAATATTTTTTTCTTTTTTTCATTTTTTTACAATGTTTGCTTGATGTATTGGGCAATTATTGTTCTGAAACATATAACTTTTTTGTCCAGAAAGGTCTTCTAAAAATGGCAATAAATTATTATTAAGGATTTTGATATAACTTTTTGCAGTTTGATGTTCATTAATTTTTACTAATGAACCTAAGCCACCCACAGTAAAACAATTTCAAACCATAACCTCCTGTCTACCCAATTTAAAAGTTGGTACAAGGCAATCTACATTATATTTCTCTTTTGGTAATTATCAAACATAGTTATAACTATCATCTCCAAATACTTCAAAGTATGATTTGTCACTTCAAATAATAGAATTCCATTCAATAGTTCAGTTTAATCATTTGATCTTTCAATTTTTACATAATATTTTGTTTTTTTCTAAAACAAATGGTTTTCATTTGTCAATCCAAGCATAATAGCCTATTTCATGTAACTTTCGTTGCAATGTATATATACTAACTTCAATTGATATTAATTGTATAAATTTATTGCATAAAACATTTAAAGTAATTTTTTTATATTGTTTGATAATTTGTAATAGATGATGGATATCATGATCAATTAGTTTAGCCGGTCTTCCTTTTCAAGCAGGAGATTTTACTTCACCAGTTTTCTTGTAATAATTAATTATATCAATGAACCATCAATTTGGATATATTAAATTCT